AACACAATACAACCAACCCAAACTCTCGATAGCACAAAAAAAATATGACCACAAAAAAATCATTCCCACCCGTACGTACTTACGAGGCGTTCCAAAAGCAAAAAAATTTGAAATTAAAATAACACGGCACCTTAGGGCCACAAATTATATAATAAAAATAATTCCGGAAAAATTAGCTTAAAAAAATAAAATTTTGAGGGTATAAAATTTTCTTTGGCCTAAATTTTAGGCCCTCAAGCGGCGATATGTGAAACTAACAAAACTTCAAATATTATAATATTTGTAGACGAAGAATAACTCTTTTCAATTAACCCGAGTTTGTTAAAATCAGCTCAGCCGTTTCGAAGATACAGGGTGTTCTTTACGGAAACCTTTGAATACCCCCCACCACTTCATTTTTAGCGTCTCATTTCTGTGAATTACGGCGATGAAGATAGTAAGGTGCTATTGCAAATCCAGTTCATTTTTCTAAAACCAGGAGTGTTATTCCGCGAGTTATTAATGAGTTTGTTTGTCTAATTTGGACAGTGAAAGTAATGATTTTTATTTCTTGTGTGCATGGCCTAAAGTTGCAAATATGTGTTAGTGAGATGTAAAGACTGGATGGGAATTAATATAAGGACACGAATGGCAGGTATATTAGCAACCTATTTGTTATGAACTCACGCTATTATAGTGTTGAACAAGAACACGATCAAGATGACTCAAGACTACCGTGTTAAATAAAACAATAATAATTTCTTAAGCACATTTTCCATTGTATACTAGGAGACGTAATAAACAAAAAGCTTCACTCAGTGAAAAGAATGTCTTTATGTAGGTATAGATGCTAGTAAACTTCCCGAATGTTATAGGAATCTCTATAGAACATCCATTCTGAATGTATTGCTGTGTGCACCGGTCCGTAGGCCAAAAAGACCGTACACAAAACACCTAAACAAACCTAGCTAGCTCAAACCTTTATCTTTCTCGGAACAAAACTTCTCCCCAGCACAGAGGAGGAATTCGACTCTTTTCTCAGTTAAACCATTAACTTCTACCAGATAGTGGGTTAGACCAAATACCTTAAATTCCAATTTAAGCTTAAGAATTTTGAATAAATAAAATGGACCTTGGGCAAGCATCCAAAGAAAACATTAAATTAAAGGAAATGAAATCGTTCGAAAGACATACCCAGAAATTAATGTGAGAATTACAAATTTCAGTTTTAATGGTTACACACAATAAAAAAAACAACAAAAAAAACAAACAATTATTACAAAGAAAAATAAAATTAAAACTTATCTACTTACATTAGGTACATGTCCAGAACTGCTAATCCAAATACGGAACACAAAAACAACAAATTTCAAATTACACAAAAAAACACCTAAGTCGGCGCAGACCACACCTTAGTAACGCACTTTATTAAAGGCCCAAACTTCCAAAACCTCCTCGAAATAAAATGCCGCAACACAAACTTGCCGCAAACTCGGTTTGCTACTCCGTAAAACAGAAACTCTACTAACTTCCAATGCTGGTTGGCTTCTACACAATCCAAACTACGGCGGTAACTCGCCGAAGCGAAATAAATTTCTTCACTAAACTCAAAACTTGCCCTGACTGGCAACAAAACTGACGATAAACTTCAAAACTCCAAAACTCCAAAACAAAACTTCAAACTTCAGCCAACGTGGATCTGCTCTCAAAGTCGCAAAACGCTGATTTCCCAAAACTTCCACAAACGTAGTTCCGCTCTGAAATTGGCAAAAAGCCCTTCCTCTTCTCAGTCCGTTCTATTTAAAGTGGAAACCCTTCTTCCAAAATTACAAATTAAAACAGCCAATGATAAGCAGTTGACAACAGAAAATTTCCCCCCTAACGTACGTTAAACTAGAGGTAGAATAGTATATTGAAAGACAAGTGTTACAATGCGACCTATTGTAATACGACTATCTTGTGGCACGAGTGGCGTAGCGAAGCGGAGCCACGAGTGTCCACAAGGTAGGAGTATTACAATAAAACATTGTAACACGTGTTTTTCATACTATTTTTTCTATTTTGGGGCTTTAATTTAATTAAAAAGTAATTATGAAAAACTACAGGAAACTTTAGAATTAATATGTCTTAAGTTGGCAACACCATTTACGTTGACAAATTTTAAGTTGGCAGCGTAGATAAACACAACACTGACATTTGGAAACTTTAAATTGCGTGAATGTGTAATTTTTTACTCGTAGATAAATTTATTTATGGTGGATGTCTAAACTGCTGATTTGGAATGTATTAAGTTCTTCGTGTACCAAAAATCAAGGAAAACACATTCATTTTACGTACGTAATTTGATTTCACATCTGATGATTTGACGTTGACGTCTTGGCGAACCGCCAACTTAGAGATGAAAAGTTACCAAAAACAATGTTACAATGGAACTCATTGAAACACTGTTTTTGCCGAAAACAGTTGCACAAAATTCTCATTGTAACACCGAAATAGAAAATAGTATATTGGAAGACAAGTGTTACAATGCGACCTATTGTAATACGACTATCTTGTGGCACGAGTGGCGTAGCGAAGCGGAGCCACGAGTGTCCACAAGATAGGAGTATTACAATAAAGCATTGTAACACGTGTTTTTCATACTATTTTTTTCTATTTCGGGGCTTTAATTTAATTAAAAAGTAATTATGAAAACTACAGGGAACTTTAGAATTAATATGTCTAAGTTGGCAACACCATTTACGTTGACAAATTGTAAGTTGCCAGCGTAGATAAACACAACACTGACATTTGGAAACTTTAAATTCCGTGAATGTGTAATTTTTTATTCGTAGATAAATTTATTTATGGTGGATGTGTAAACTGCTGATTTGGAATGTATTAAGTTCTTCGTGTACCAAAAATCAATGAAAACACATACATTTTACGTAATTTGATTTCACATGCATCTGATGATTTGACGTTGACGTCTTGGCGAACTGCCAACTTAGAGATGAAAAGTTACCAAAAACAATGTTACAATGGAACTCATTGAAACACTGTTTTTGCCGAAAACAGTTGCACAAAATTCTCATGCCAACTTAGAGATGAAAAGTTACCAAAAACAATGTTACGAACTCATTGAAACACTGTTTTTGCCGAAAACAACAAAATTATTGTTTTATAATCAATTTTTAACATTAAGAGATAACACATAAATTAAAATACTAGGAAATATAAAATTTTATTTCTTTTAAATACAATGAAAAGGCGATAAATATTAATATCCACCTGTCAATTTAAATTAAGCGTTTACAATTGATAACAGAATAAAAGCGATATAAAATTCTCGGAAATTTACGTTAAAGAAAATAAAAAATGAACTTAAAAATGTACACAAAAACAAACCTTGACCTCTTTCTCGTAACAATAATTTCTGTTTCAGTAACCAACGACACAAAACAAAAATTTAGACTATGAAAATTAATTACATGGAAACAGGAAACCGCCCTTGTCCATTCTACTTACGAATCCCAAAATTTCGTCCTGCCAGACAAAATATCACAGCAGTATATGTATAACATACATAGAATATCCTATTGAACATCTTTGCATGTTATTACAGGAATATTCATGGTATATCCACTTGTCATTATACCAATATACACAGCATGTCTAATGCATATACATAAGACATCCAAAACGTATATACTATGTATTATCTGAAGTCTGCCAAACTTATATCCCATGCACATACATAGGACATTTGCGACATACTTTTCCACATTCTATGGATATACAAAATCCTACGTGGAATGTGCATGTTATATGCAATGTATATAGGTCTGCTATGTTGGCGTACCTACCTACGATTTATGTACGAAGGATTAGAAAACAAAAATGAAATTATTGAATTTCGTCGGACGGTGTATACATTTAGAGATTTTTAAATGAGAAGAGCAAATTGTAATAATATTTTGAGTAAATTTATAATTTAACTACAGCTTCCATAAGTTAAGCTTCTTAAACGTTAACCGTTTATTATAGATTCCAGTAAATTCTATTATATGACCTAACTCCCGTTCAAGTCGAGTTTTAATACAAGCGTATGAGACAGTTGAGATGCTCATTCATTACCGTTCGGACTTGAAACTTTTCGGCTTAAGAAAAATGTAAATTGTAGGATCTACGCGGATTAAATCCAATTATTTACACAAGACGTTATATATGCTAATGTAGGTTGCCGTTAAGATCCAAATTGGGGTAGTTTGAGAGAAGCGTGACATATGCTTTTAAAATTTATTGTCGCAAAAAGACAACTCGCGTAGTTCGCTGTCGAAGTCCAATTCTTCATTTCTGCTAATGTATATCTATAAATATAAATGCGTATGCCTACAACAAAATAAAACAAGATAAATAGTATACTATTGACTTAAGATTCAAGAAAGACGACTACTTAAGGCATGAAATACAAGTTTGTTAAAGTATCTTATTAATGTGCTTGTTACAATTAACATTTGATCAGAGAATATGTTTTGGATTTTTTATAACAGCTTGTGTATAAAATGCAAACATAATAAGCGTAAATTTTACTTTGTAAAAATGTAGTTATATGAGAACGCTTAAAATATGCACGTACATACCTTCTTAAAGAAGTCATGTTACATTTTAGTCTGTTTTATTTATTGTACGGGTTGCGTTTGCATAAATCCGGGATTTATTATTATCATATCCGAAGTGAATCCGCTCCGCAGCGTCGCATATACGCCGGTGAGTTGAATGCGACGTTAAGATGCAAACCGCCGATCAATTTATTGCGGCCTAGATTATGAATATATTATTGCGTATTTCAGTATGCTCATCAGCCAAATGACCCGCGAATAGACAAGACAATAGTTTGTTTCTGTAGGCCAGACAATGGGCGAGTGCTGCGGCGCTCGTTTCAAACTTACCGCCTTACCTGTGCCGACCAGGTAGGACAGGTTGCTGCTGGGGCGCGGAAGGAGGACAGGTTGGAATGCGGGGAGGGCATTGGAAGTTGCCAGTCGTTCAGTCCATCTTAAGAAACTAGAGGGCTAGTTTATCCGTGATCTTCGCAGTGTGCATATTTTGTACCTCGCATATTAATTCTACCCTATATTAGGGTTACGGTGTTACAAACTTGCGACAGTTATCCGCATCGGTGTTGCGTGTCCGTGTTCGCGATTTCTGCGTGAAAGTGACGACCGTTTCGGTGGATTATTATTATTTTGTACACAAGTTCTGTTAATGCAGATACCGCGCGCTTAGTGATTTCCCGCAGGTATGTGTGTAGATTGTCGATGGCCTGCTACTAGTTGATGCTATTACATACACCGTGAACTTTGTAGGCCAATAACCAGCTGCTCTCTAATTCGATAAGCGCCAGTAAAAAAATAAATTGTAGTTGTTCAAATCCATTTCACGCCGCGACCACGGTATGACAGATATTTAAATGAAACCTGTCACATAGTTAGGATATTTCTACCGGCCCATGTGTTTCACGTTCGCTCAAAAGGCTTTTGTGCCTGAATTTGGAAGCTGCAGCTCTTAAAATTCTTGTTTTTTTGCGTACTGGTTTTGTTGAACTGGTCGCTGTCCGATGTTGACGGTTCGCGATTCTATTTCGTTAGACGATTTTTGTGTAAGTTTAACTCGCAGTTTAAATTCAATCTTCTCGAGGAAAATTAAAAACGGCACCTTCAAAAGATTCCGGTAAATTGGGGGAACATTACAGACATTTTTTGAGTGCATCCGCGGCGAAGGACGTTTTCAGGTGGACTAGTATTTACTTTTGTTCTCGTTATTAGCACGTTCATGTTAAGGGGATGCATTTAATCTACCTGAAAAATACCTGACTTTTACTGTTTACGGAGCCGCCCGAAAGTGTGTTATTTATACTTTGGTAGTTTTCAGGATGTGCCAGCCGCCACGATGATACGCCGCTTGGGCGATATGGAGGGTCGGTTGATAGTGTTGCTGCTGGTGGCAGCCACCCTCGCGGAGCACGTGCGAGACCTGGAGATATCCGAAGGTGCACCGGTCGGTACAAGGATCGGTTATATCGGTGACGGTGCTACGTCAGACAGTGGTCCGCCGTATTTGATAGTGCCCGTCGGGAATGCGGTCATGTCCGATCTATCACTTGACACAAACACGGGAGAAATTAGAACCAAAGTTCCTTTGGATCGCGAAAAACGTGCGAGTTACTCGTTGGTGGCGATACCTATCAGTGGCGATAATATAAAAGTTTTGGTGAAAGTGTTAGACGAAAACGACAACGCGCCGACTTTTCCAACTGCGGTTATGAACATCGAGTTTCCGGAAAATACGCCGAGGGACGTGAAACGGACACTGCATCCCGCCAGAGATGCGGATCTCGACATTTACAACACGCAAAGGTACAATATTGTGTCGGGGAATGTGAATAACGCATTTAGACTATCCTCGCATCGGGAACGTGATGGTGTTTTATATCTGGATCTGCAAATAAACGGATTCCTAGATCGAGAAACGACAGCGTCGTATAGCTTGGTGATTGAAGCTTTAGACGGAGGAACACCTCCGTTGCGGGGCGAGATGACCGTTAACATATCCATTCAGGATGTTAACGACAATCAGCCGATTTTCAATCAAAGCAGATACTTTGCAATGGTTCCGGAGAATGCGACGGTTGGTACAAGCATTTTGCGTGTGTTTGCGACCGATAATGATGACGGTGAGAATGGTCAGATAGAGTACTCGATCAATCGTCGGCAGAGTGATCGCGATAGCATGTTCCGTATTGACTCGACCAACGGGCAAATATCCGTAAACAAACCTTTGGATTTTGAGTCGAAGGAGCTGCACGAACTTGTGGTTGTGGCCAAGGACCATGGCCTTCAACCATTGGAAACGACGGCGTTTGTATCGATTAGAGTGACCGATGTGAATGACAACCAACCGACGATCAACGTGATCTTTTTGAGCGACGATGCTACTCCAAAGATTTCGGAATCGGCCCAACCTGGAGAGTTTGTGGCCCGGATTTCTGTGCACGACCCGGACTCGAAGGCGGAGTACTCCAATATAAATGTAACGCTAACCGGTGGCGACGGACGTTTTGGATTAACAACGAGAGATAACATAATTTATCTGGTAATTGTTTCGCTCCCTTTAGATCGGGAAATGCAGCCCAATTACACGCTGAACGTCGTCGCCACCGACACGGGAACACCACCATTGCATGCCTCGAGAACTATAAATTTAAAGGTAACGGATATTAATGATAATGCCCCTGAGTTCTCCGAGGATGTTTATTACGCTAACGTTATGGAAGTGTCCGATCCGGGTACATCTGTTATTCAGGTATTTGCAACCGATAAAGATGAAGGTAACAACAGTGCGATTACGTATTTTCTATCCGATACACCGGATACCCATTCCGCTTGGTTTCATATCGATTCGCGTAGTGGTTTAATAACAACAAAAGCTCATGTGGATTGTGAGACGGATCCCGTTCCGCGACTGACAGTGATAGCGACGGATAACGGATTTCCGCCCCTGTCATCATCTACTACTGTGTTTGTGACAATACACGACGTAAACGACAACGAGCCGATATTCGATCAAAGTTTCTACAACGTTACAGTCGCAGAAAACGAAGTCGAAGGACGCTGCATTTTAAAGGTAGGATGGTATGCATGTAATATCGCATATGTCAATGAACTCGAACCCCATAAACGTGAAAAAAAATGATTATATTTTGTTGTGGAACACATTAGAAATATTGTAAATTTATGGGATGTTTGCGTTGTTGTGGTTGAAGTACCCGTTGACTGAAACAGCGTGGGGCAGGTAGAGTGGCCACCTATTGTGAGGGTTTCGACCCGGGATATGCAACTGCGCGAACTAGGAAATCATCATCCGAACGCATCAACCGGTTTCCAATTTTTCTACAATTTTGCAAAAACTCCCGACTTCTAATAGCAGAATCGCGCTCAAATTATAACAAGCTTATAATCTCTGTAGGTAGCAAATTCCAGTTCGTTAATTGGTTCACATTTTCCCTCCGAATTACACCAAAAAATTTACAATATACCCAGCCCAGTTATTTAAATATCTCCGAATTTATACAAACATGTAGGACTTCCTCTGCGTTTTTATTATTAATTGCGCAACATTTGAAGAACATAAATTCCACGCTTGAATTCCCATAAATTATGAATTAATAATTTTTACATCTACAACTCTGTTCTACATAAACATTTTTGGATTTCCTCCATTTGGAAATTTCTAATTGTGCGACTACCGCGACAATATAAATATTTAACAATTCGGTCTTGTCCAAATAAATATTTATTTATTTTTTATAAAGTATTCCGTGAATGAAATTACCATATTAATTTAAATAAACTGTTAAAATTTGATTTAAACGTGTACAAATTAAAGATCACGATTGCAATTTGATTGCATAATCAACGAAAAAAAATTAGCAAAAATTCTCGACGTTCTTATTATAACTATCCGTTTCTTAAAGGTATGTAAATTGCGTATGCCCATCCGTATCTTCATGTTTGCGGGCTTATTAGTAATAAATGTGAATTGTCAACGAATTAATTTTCAATATAAATTGACGGGCGGAGAAAGTTGTTTACTCTCTGCCTGTATATCGGCCCATCTTGTATACCTACACAGGTTGATTTTCTTATGTAATGCTTCGTACAGGTCTCTTGCATAATTATTTCTGCGAGTTATAACTGTTCTAAATAATATTAAAGGTTTATTAGTCATATATGTGTAATTTATGAAGTTATTACCGGCGGTGTTATCTTCTTATGTAAGAATCTGCGTTCTATTCTCAACAGTCTCACTAGTGCTTCTCTCGTTGGGCCTTTTTCGTTATACCCCCACATAATGTGCTTATGCGTGAACACGGTTGTAATAATTCGTGGTCTAATTAATCGTAGTAGAGCGCTTGCGAAAATAATCAGTAGTTGCTAATGTATAATCACAGAATTATCGCAAATTTCAGTTGCCCCACCGGCGTTTAATTTATTTATTTTAATTTTTTTTAATTGGTCCAAAGACCGACTATTACTGGTGTCCTAAACACCAAAGTTACAATTACGAAATTATAAATTCTTATTTAAAATTGACCAAAAATAGTACATTTTTATGGGCATATTGTGACATCTATGGAAAAGATTCTATTCCCCAAAAATTATAGAAAAAAGGACTAATGGAAGACTGAGATTTGCAAATGCAGAGGTCTCGTTCCAAGCACAGAATAGTATATTTTTTCTATTTCGGTGGTTTAATTTAAACAATAAATGCAGGAAATATTATAATTAACATTTTGTAGGTTGGTAACACGTTTTACATTGGCAAATATTAGATATCAGATATCTATTAATCTTTCAAGACACTGCTTAATTTTACAATGGAATATAACTATCCATTATGTACTATTTCCTTACGCAAAATGGTTACTTAATAAACAGACATCTTTTTATAGTAGAATTCGAGGTAGAATTTTATATACACGGTGGCAATTTGAAAACTTACCACCCCCCTTGTCTAAGTAAATAAACGAGATATTTAAAAAAATCAAAATCCGTTTTGGTCTCGGTTTCGGTAATTCGGAAGGGGAATCACAATGACATAGTTGGCGACGCACCCCCTCCAATCCCCTGCGCCCCAGCCACCTCAACTTTTAAATTTTAAATAGTGATCCCCCATGTGTGATACGTCGTTAGCTTTCCAACCATACCAAATAGTATTACATTTAGGTTAGTAATTATCGTGCAAATCCAAAAATACTTACTTATTTATTTTTTTTATTTATTATCCCTCTTGTTCTTGGCCCTCAACACTCAACAGGCTTGCGTATGGAATGTTTTCTCTGTATCAAAAATCAATTAATGCATTTAAACCTCGATTTAAACATTTCCACAATTTAGTTTGACTGATTTCACGTTGAAGAATGTAGGTGCGTTTGCTATACTGCCAACTGTAGACACTAAAAGTTACTAAAAGCCTCGCCTAAAAACAATGCTACAATAATTTTTTTCTGAAACTACTTTAGAAACAACTTTCGTCTTTAAAAAGGGTGAAGAAAATGTGATTTTCCTCTCTAGTGAGGAAAGTAAAAAAACAATTGCTGCGATTGACACACAGCGTAGCGACGCTCATGTGTCAAACTTTGAACTTGAGATGAAAAACTCCACTTTCTTCTCTAGTTGTACAAATGACTATTTTGTCTCGTATTTTGTACTCCGTGGACCAAATCGAAATGTTTTGTGGAGTGTTTTGTCATTCATTTATGGGACTAAAGTGTCACTGTTTTCTCGGAGGGGGAAAAACGCGACGCGGGACAAAAAGTGATAGTACAAACTGAAATGTCAAACACAATGGACCTACTGATTAATGGTTACATGTTTGCGAATCTCGTACAGAAATGGCATCACAACAGGATGACCTACAAGAAACGTTCCATAACTACCTCGATAACTACTGTGAACTCACTACTTATTTGCGACATCGATTCAGATAGACCACAGTTTTGTGTGTCTCATACATTTATTCAGATTGCAACTGACAAAGATAGCTAAGTGTACACTTTAGGAGCTGTATCTGGATCTACAATGAGGCAGAACTAAAAGCAATTACCACTACCAGACGTGATTTTGTAGAGGTCTTCCTTTAAGGAGCAAACACGTTTTTTCTTACTAGATTATTTCGGTGGTAGATTATAGTGAAACAATTTTATTGTCTCAAATACATATACATTATCAGTGGTTCAGTATCATTGTATTATTTGTTTGAGGTTCACTGTGTTTGTCACTCGGTTTGTCAAATCAAATTGAATTCGTGCGTGGCGAATTATCATTGGTCCATTCATTTCGATCCGTTGAATGCGCATGAGATTATATTTTCACTCTTTTTCCTTGCGGTACTTGCTGGTCGGCACGTTTAAGAGCAGTTGCTTGCATCGCTAAAAACTTCATTGAAGGTGTAAAGGCGATTGACTGGATTTTTGGTGATTTTGAATTAGTTTTGGATCGAGATATACCTAATTTTCTCTAATGTGGAGGCTATAAATTGAACTCATAATGGATGCATACGTAAGTACGGCCATTTTCCCTTAACCATCTTGTTATCTCGCGTATTCTTTTTAGGATCTTGCTATTGAAGCTTGAGTCGATTCAAGTTTCAACCATTGGCGTATTAGTCTTTCTTTCCTAAATAACCCTCTTATTAATCAGAGATATGTATGTTACATTTTGTGTTTTGAACGGATTTAATATGTCATCTCTTGACAGGTTTTTAATTTCAGTTACTATTTTTTTTGTTCACTTGGTAGGTGGTAGGCGTTAGGAAAGAACCGTTTTCATCGGAAATTCAAGGAACAAATATATTCTCATTCACTAGATGGCACCACTTGCGCTACTCCATATTATACAGTGTGGAAAAGTTAAGTGGAATAAATTCGTTATTTCGGTGATTGTACATTTTTATCTATAGAAAATCCCGAAACATCTCCAATTACAAATTGACATTATTCTACCTGAAAATATGGTCCCTACCTTCAACCCCCTTCGAGAGACAGTGACAACTACCAATTTTTTAAATGGGAAGTATCGAGGGAAGTATGGACTTCTAATGAATGTGAAAAGAATAACATTTTTGGATATAGAATGTAGAGAGCTTTCAAACGATGTACCACAAATCCACAAGTCCTTACTTAGGAATCCGGGTAGGGATCACATTTTCACGATGGGAATGTCAATTCAAAATTTAAATTTGACGTGCTTCATGCTTTTCTATAAATATGTACAGTAACCGAAATAATTAATTTATTCCCGAGTTTTATTGCCTTTGGCTTTTCCACATTGTATATTAATATGTAATTCACCTGGAAGCCTAGTATGACCCACATAAAAGACCAAAAATGTGTAAACGTCACGCAGAATTTCAGGGCTACTACTTATCAAAATTAATTAGTTTATTTATTTATTGTCCCCCTCTTGTTCGGGGCCCTCAACAGGCTTGAGCCCAATTACAGAGTGACCTGCATAATGCTTTTTAGAGGTGCCCCTTATCAAAGCAAATGGGCTGTTAATCCTTATTCGTCATCGGATAAGACTTCAAAAGGCCAACACAATTAATTTTAACACAAAGTTCACTCGCTTTAACACATTTTAAAATTTACTACTTGTGCCCAAACTAACATGAAATTTAAAATTCAATGGGTTCGTAAATACACGTAACAAAAATTTTTTTCAAATGATTACGAAAACAAACTTAATGTTCACCAAATAACACAGAAGAAAATTGAAAAAGGTCACTTACTTCGCTATTTAAAGCATTTGTTCTTCTTTCGATTTTCGACGATCAAAACTAAATAACTTGAATGAGGTTAACTTCGTAAAACGCCCACATTTCCGAACTTAAACACTCATCAGTCATCATTAGCGCAAATAACATTCTATCAATATTGTTCTCTTATCGAACACCTGTCCAGCTTTATGCAAAAATTTTAACAACATTTAATAAAAGAATACACCTACAAATTTCATACAATTTTAATATTTATCAAATTAAATAAAACAATCCATCTTGCGCGTTCATCCGCAATATACAGGTAAAATGTGTAACAAAATAAACAAGTCATCACGTCATAGAAAGGGTACCTTTTTTTGAGACTTACAATTTCTACCTCTTAGGTGGAGTGCCAACTCGAGTGCCAATTTTAA